TGACCAGACATAAGTCATATATCTTATACCTAAAGGTCAAGCTAGAACAATAACTCCAGTTTATCATATTTGTGAAGGGATTGAACGCCTACGCATTTTCTGACGATTATATGACGGGTTGGTGGTCATGTTACCATAGTGATTTGGTATATATTTAGGTAGTAGACTTTCTGTTTGAGCATACGAACTAAACAAGAAATTTAATCACTGGTAATAATACAAGGTATGTGACCTACGCCTAATTTTGACGACAGATTTCAGCATAAGGGTTGTCAAGAATATGTAAGAAACGTGTTATGTGCAGGTTAATGATGTTTTTACTTTTGTTATAATATCTCATCAGTTCATGTTATATTTCCCTACCTATTTTGGGTTCTGATTTTTTTCTTATATGCCGATGCCGTGTTTTAAGTTTTCCTATTTTTCCTTTACCTGTGTTCCGTATGCATTGTTCAGAAAAATAATGACGATAGTTTTATAGTTGAAAGTATGACGCATCAATCCTCGAAACCACAAGAATAGTATTTTTTTTTCATTTATCTGAATCAACAAATAATTGAAAGTGTGCAATATCCTCCTGACTACTGAATTCTGTATTTAAGCAATGGAACGAGGAAACACGATTTTTAGCAGTTTAATCAATCCAATGGCGTATTAATAAGGTGGTTTGATGAATAAAAGTGTTTATCAGATTAGGACCTGGTTAACCTCTGAAGAGTATTAATTCTATGTAAATATAACCTTTAACACGACACTGTCTGTGTTGTGTGTATTCGTGATACATTAGTCACACCATCAAACCCTACAGACAATTAGTATCACGGCAAAGAACATACATCACGTCCAGCACAACAATTACCATACATCTATTCCGAATGCTTTAGAATTATAGATGTTGCTTTCCTTAGATGTGATCATAAATAATTGAATGTGACATTTAATTATTACGGTACATCACTTTAATGTTAAGTTTTGAAATGTTATAGCATTTGCATGACTTTAAATAACAGTTGTATAGATATTTGTATTCATTTTGCTTTGTATTAATTATGGAGTGCCGTTCCAATATACAATACACAGACAATGGAATAAATAAATGTTATTTATGCTAAACTGATAAGTTCAACGGCAAGTCAGCATTTGTTCTGTTATATTTATATATTGGCGACTTATTTAGCATAATAGCAATTATTAGATCGATCAGCTATGGGTTAAATGGATCATTTGAGCATGACTTCGCAATGATCTGTTAAGTCAATTTAATGTATATTTACCTATCAATCAATTGTCTGCTCATATAATCCCTTTTACAATATTATGATAATGTAATGATAGGTTACCTACCTACTTGGTTATCAATCTATACATTACTGAACGAATAGGAATCAATAATGCTAAATGTTTTGAGAGTTCAACTTTCATGTATGTTTCAAACGTTTTGTCAGTTACATGTAAGCTTTTATTTTCTCTGATTTCAGAGTTCAGTTTCCAACTCATTATCAGTTGTGTTCAGAGTTGAACTCTATTTGGTTTATCAAATGTTTTGAGATTCCAGCTCCAATCTATTTGTCAACAATTTTGAAAAATGTGCTTCCATGTTTTTGTTTATTGTTTTATGAGTTTTAGCTGTCATCTAATATTTTGATATTTGTCAATTGTTTTGAAAATTCACAAGTGTTTACCCTTCGCTGGAAAAAGGCGACAGAGGTTTTACCGCTAGGTACAGAATAAAATTTGATGAGTTTCCTCATATTTTCGATGCGAGATATCGGTTTCAAAATTGCGGTTTTCCCTTATTCCAAATTTAACCAAAATTGAAATCAAAAGAAAAAACCGATTTTATTATCAGCTAACCTGATATTTATGAGTCAATGAACCTTTTTTGCGCTTTACATATCTTAATCCTGTTTCTAAGATACAGGTTAATGACCGGATAAAGTACAAACGCGTCAACCAGGGGAGACAACTCGTTATTTATATAATGTGCTGTCTGCCAACTCATTAATTATGATAACATGTAACGGTTATTGGCACACTAACACCTAGAGTTGATTAATGTCTGAGGAGGTGTTGTTAGGTCGGGGTGATCATTGACCTGTTAACGTAATATGTTGCTAGCCCCTTAGGTAACGAGGACTAAGGTAACCCCACCAACACTGGCACTGGTACAACATATAGCACCTCGTGATGTCATTAAATTTATAATAGTTGTCAAATGTATCTGACAGTCGATAATTTACCTAGCAACAAGAACTGCAACACTACTCATACGTGTATATATATTACGTGACTTCATTTGCTAATAAATGACATTGTTAATTCATTTGACATTTGTTTTCGTAGCCTCATTTACTGATGTTTTTTTACTGTAAGTTAAAGTTGCCTTTTTGTGTGGCGATGTTTTTCTTTCTATCAAATGTATATTTGCAAATAGTTTTGTGACAGTACACCTCCATTTGATATATATAATGAACTCAACACATACATAGATATTTTGAAAGCAATATATATATATACAATTTACGTATACATCAAGACTATTGGCATATGGAATTACGCGATTTTGGTAAAACGCAGTTTTCAGATGAATGAATATTATTTCCTTTGAACTTAACAAACTGATATTCCTTGTAATCTTACATTTGTATCATCGCGTAAATGTACTTTCCGTAAGTTTGAATGTTTGGCTCAAACACTGCCTAGGGGTTTCGTTGTCACTCCCTTCTGGAGCACCATGTGTTATTGTTGTATTTGATCAAGTATTTCAGTGATAGTCTTTCCTTTATTAATATTTTCCTATAGTTCATCGATTGCAGTTCACATTGCTGTTTACTTTTCACATTCCTTGATTGCTTTTAATTAGTTAATATACATTTAGTTTGAGTTTACATTTGATTAACGACAGTCAAGAGAAATGCCGACGCCTTCACATATAATTGAGATTAAATAGTTATTTAATGGGGGGTTTTCTGTCAACAAATAGATTCAAATATTCATGAAGGCAATGGTATCCACACACCATACATCGACTTCTATATGAAGTATGTCGTGTCTACTTTGATGCCAGTTTGTTGTAATATGTCAATAACACTCCCGCCTACACGCAAACAATAACATAAATTCAACTTTTCTTTTAACCCTTACTTGTACCTTATTGAATTTTATGTGTTTCTCGGACAGACATGTTATTTTTACAGATGTCTTTAGACTAGAGTGCGATCTTAAATACCTAATAAACACAAGGGAAAAACCCGACGCCATATTAATGGTGGTGTGTGAATGTCCTCTATCAAATATAATATTGACATCATTAAATAGTCAAAAATAACTTAGTGTTAACATATTAGGACACCAACAACACGAATGGGGACGATACCAACAACAGACATCAAAAACCACAACACGGATACAAAATGATGCTTTCTGTGATAGTTATTTCGTTGCATTATTAACGGCCCATCAACACAGAACTGGTCAACTCGGCTTATGATTGGTAGATAGGGTTTCTGGGTGTTGAGGTATTATCTACACAAACCAATATATCAGTTAGACAAAGAAGTTAATATTTTGTTACAAGGAAATCTTGCACAACTGTGCGCTTTCTACAGACGCAAAAAGGCGTTGACTCTTATGTCGCATGACACAACCATATGTAGGCGTTTGTTATGTATCTTTTACAACCATTTGTCTTCCAACGCGAGCAATCACCTTACTTTATTTTCAAAAATTGGTTGTCCGGGTTTATAAACTTAATCTGAGTTGGTTTTTATTAACAGAATCAGATGCTGCCTGTTATCATATACACTTAATCAGAGAGTAACCTTTCCTTAGTAACACATAAAAACAAGCTGACATTCGATTTAAAAGTATGTAAAATATCAATGAATGTGTGGGACTGTTTTTAGAAAACAAGTTGTAAGAAAATACTGTTAAAATTATTAACAGATACTTGTTATTTAACTTATCTTTTACAACGGTGTCACTTGTAAAAAGGGGGAGTCCTTCGTCGTGATTTGACATAATTATATCCTGTGTGATATGCCATGTGTCAGACAATAATAATTTCATTGTACTACAAACCTATCCATATACAATGCACCACAATATATCACTAGACTGTAAACGGGTTATATAAATGATATAACGACAAAATTTACAGCCAGAAGTTAGCGCTATGACAGTTCATGATGTATTCGAATGCTAATGCAACTTATACAGCTACAAAAGTATCATCAACAACACGTTACTGCTGTGAATACATATGTGTTAGAAACGCCAGACGTGTGCTGGATGAATGAGAAATCTAAGCTATATGTTATAGCATTGTAACGGCATTAAGAAACACGGGCACAAATACGAATAGGAACTCAATAAAAGTAATGTTATATTGAATACTATTATACTGAAAATGTGTTTGGAGGAATGTAAACAATAATCTCTCAATGGTCGCTATAATCGAATAAAAACAAAATTTCGCACAATGGTCGTTATGTATCTTGACGAGAGCGATACAAAAAAAGTAAAAAGGAAAGATAAAAAATGTATCATTTTTTACCACTCAGACCACATATAGACGGACGCAAAAGAGAAGAAAACTCAAGTTGGGAGAAAAAAGGAATGATACAATTCTCAAGTGTTGCCTTCCGAGCAGCAGATGAATCAAAGGAAAAGAGAAGAAATCCACGATTCTGCATTTTGGTCAACATTTAATGCCTTTTACGATTATTGCATTGGGAAACAGCAGGCATTTCCCTTCTCTTGACCAGCAAAAAAAAAGGACCAAGCAGACACGGGAACATTGAAACTCAACCTAAGAAATATATAGCCTGCCACAATGTGAAACACTTTCTAACTGTTCCCGTCTAATCAGGTAGTTGATGTCAATGAATATACATAAATTGTTGGTATACTAAAGTGTAAGAGTAATAAAGTGTAGGAAAATAAGTATGTAATATTATATAAGTACGCAATAAAAAAAAGCGAAATAAAAGTTTACTTACTGGCGACAAATGTACTGCTCCGCTTTGTGATATGATGTGAAGATTGGTTAATAAGGAGATGAGACAGAGAAGATGATGGCTCCACCTGGTGGGCTTCGTCGTCTGAAATATATACACCCTCCTGTAAAAGGAAAAAGATACTTAATTCATGATTGGCATTAATCTAACAAAGTGTTCCAAGAGCATCTCCTGCTTTCATCGTCGACACTTGCTAAATAAATCTAGGTCAAAACTATGTCACGCCCTCATAGTGATGACGGGGGTAGCTCCAACTAAACAAGGTATAATAAAAACTACAGTTCATCTTACATGTGTAAGATAGCAAATATTTCCAAGAAAGACAGCTCTAGCAGAATGTATTGGTATAAGATGTCAGTGTTAGTATTGAAGGCAGCACATTGCTTTAGTTCTCTGCAATGAATAAATGTATATATCAGATAAAAAAAAACACTCTACTTTATAGATACAGAGAGCAAATTGACGTATTGTTAGTGTTTAGGCCTTTATGTACATTTAATTCAGCTTTAAAAGAAATCATAGATTTACTACGTTGACAAGTATACTTACTATTTGTTTATTTTTTATACCATCTTTGTTTTCTTTTACTGCGAATGCACCCACTTTGTCTTTTGAATGATAAAATGCAACACCCTGAAAAATAATAAAACCGCGCCATGTTTTAATGTACAAAAGTTTAAGTTTATACAACGGAAAAACAAAAAATGGATTAGACTGCTTGTTTACCAACATAGATCCAAAATTTATATTAACAATGATACATAACTATTGCTACATTAGAATGGCTTATATTATATCTGTTACGGTCCGCAGAACTGCAGTACAACGAGTTTATGGTGTACAGGGTCTGTTGTCTGCACGGTTCATATTCGAAAACGACGGATCGTGATTACGTCCTGGAGCAAAATATCTTATCAGATGGCTCCACTAGCATCGGATCGGGTATGAGATGGCTTGGGCTTTGCATTATGGTTTCAGTAATGTATTATTCTAAAAGTAAATAAGAACAATAGAGCTGTTGTAAATATGAACCAATAACAAACGGATCACCTGTGCAGCCTCTCCAGCATACATACAAATACATACATATGTTTAGAGAGGGATCACGTGTTTATCATTTGAATGAAAATCGTGACTATAGTATCACATGAATTAGGGACAAACAAATACAATAGGAACGTCAAGAGTAAAAGTAAGATGGCAAAAGATTTAGAATGTGTCTCCTGATGGTTTTCTCATAAACAGTGTTGATACATATGTATCTATAAAACACGTATACAAACAAAAACACTGTGCTGATATATAATGTTACATATCTTACAGAGAGATTCACCTCAGCACTATATTAGGAGTCAACAAGTTGTTATTATTATGTTACCATTATGTATCAGCTATTGCGGATAACATTTTAAACCGTATTTACTTGGACAAGTTTAATAAATATTTATAGGAGAATCCTTAATCAGAGTTTGCAAAATGTATGAAAAACCAAACATGCATATCAAAAAACATCAAAGATGCCCAGTAATCCATAATACTTCAAACTCACAATCAAAAACACTAGATCGAAATATGAACATAGGAAAGATAAATATACGGATCCTTAATAGGTAAAAAGAGGATAAGACCAGATAATTCGGAAGAGCAAGAGTCGTTTGCTTCATCGATAACATCCAGCATGTAAATCTAGGTCTATTCAAAGTAACATCTCATTGAGAACTCTGGTACAAAAGGCACACTAATGAGCATCATTAGAAACATCGAGCTTTCATACCCGTCATCAAACTGCATTAATGACTATACCTTTTGTCCATTCATTTCCGTTCCCGACTGTTGTTACATCCAGATAAATATAGTCGGACCCTGTTCTGAATATGACAGCGTATGGAGTGACTGATTTAATTTATAAATGTGCACATTGTGTCACTTACATGACATATTCTCTTATATGACATTTTCGACAAAATTGAAATTGCAATGGAAACTCAACACCTCGATGGTAAAATGAGTTTTGAAAATATAAGTTATTAAAATGTTTCGTATAAAATCACCTAGCGCCAAGTCAATACAATTTGCATCCCTTTGTTATTGATTACACGTCTTTGATACCGAGTGAACTGACTTTTTTGGCACTGAACTGACATAACTTGTGTTCCTTTGCTGTGAATGAGCCTATATTACATTTATATAGCATGTAACCTGTGAAATTGACATTTCACAATGTCTATAGAACTGAGCCCATCCAAAACGTGTCCATTTATAAATACACTTTTCACATATGGCGCTTAGTGCATATTGTATGTTAGTATACTTACGTTGATGTCGCCGCGCTCACAAAGTGTGTGCCCCTGTGAGATCGAACAAAGTGGAGAATTGATATTGATGTTGTCTTTACGTTTCAGCTGTAACGTCTCGGTCCGACCTTGGTCCTCTATCAAAAAGTTCATATTTTTTGGATGTGATGACGTTGTATAATGTCCGTCCATATGGATTTTGTAGTTGAACGAATCTGAATAAGTAAAGGAATTATAAAAGAAAGCATTAAAATATGTTTAGTTGTACGTAGATGTGTTATATAAAACAAGTGACGCCATACAAAGTAGCAGGTCATCACACACCATTAAACGTTTTATGACGATTGCATTAGGAAGGTACGACCAAGGATTTGGTGAGGTTCTTAAGTTCACACCAAGAGGATACATTATTCTTCATACTATTTCCTGTGCTTTTTCTCCAATCGTATTACACTGTCGTTTTAAATGCAAAGCAGCTATGGTTAATTATTAAGGGTATTCACGACATAACATAAAATACATTTGAAGTAATAGTCGCTAGTATAGTATAAGGCGCGAGATAGAGGTTTGTTCGAGCTGGAAAAGGTGGTATATCAGATGTTGTTTGATTAAATACGGAATTATCCCATGTGATGAAGGCCATATTTTAAGTCACTGATATTTAGATAATTAACCTACTGTGTTTGATGTTTGTGTCGGTATAACATATAGTCAATGCTTATGTCATATTGCTCCCGAAAGCGATCAAAGTTAATCTTCATTAAAAAACAGCAGTTGTAGCAAATAATTTCTATTGATCAATCAAAACCATACGTGTAACAGCTCAAATTAATATTATAATATATTCAGAGGTATTTTATACAGAAATTCAGATATTATATTTTGTAAAGCCAACACAAGAACATCCTAACAAATAGAAATACACACGACACTGTGCACCTAATAAAGGAAAAATTGTAAATATCGTCACTTATTATTTTTAAAACGTATAATGAAGGTTTTATCTAAATCAGTGAATGTATTAATGGAATCTCTCACATGCGGTGCAGTTTGTAAACGTGTGCTAAGGTAGATACTAGTACAGTACCAATATCGGTTTTTTTAAGCAAATCAAGTATAGGTTCAGTTTGTTTCATGTCTATACAGTATACGTTTGTGTCTGTTCGGATGAAAGCCTACTGATAAGTAACAGTATAAAGACGAGGAATATACCTATAGGTGCATCCGTTCATGAGTTAATACAATCGTCTATTTAGTTTTTTTTCTTGATATATACATATAGCACAGGAGTACACGTGTTTGCTTTTTTTTCTATCAGACGAGACGTCGGCCAGCGTTTTATGTATTTTTTCATTAAGGGAAAACCATGCACTATCTCTGTGTGTAAAGCAGAGTTATTTGAAGGTAGAAAGTTAGCCTAGTGTACCAGGTCTGACTTATGACGTCTCGATTTTGACACACGACCTTGACCGTATTGACATCGACCTTGAGATCGCCATTGAAGACCGGTGTTGATGAAGCGGTCCCGTCAGATATCCACCACAGGGTGTTTTATCACTGGACCTTATGGATGTGTAATATACCGCTAGTTTATACAGCTGACGTCAGCTCAAAACAGAACACACATTTCAACGTCTCTTTAATTTTTATAAATCATGTTAAGAAAACACGATAATCTTATACACTATATTTCTGAGTCATACGGAATATATCATTCTGGTAGACATTTCAGGGATATTGGTTTTAACTTTAATGTCTATTCAAACAATAATTGTATTCAATATTAATTAAAAACAATGACAATTTAACTTGAATTGGATGTAAAATTTAATGCATGATGCATGATGTCAAAGTGTTTTTCTTTATTTCCATATGCAAGTAAAATGTCGTATTTCATCATTAAAAAACATCTAGATTACTGATATCAACCGGTTATTGAAACTCCCGAAACAAAAACAAATATTTACCATATAATCAATACACCAGGAGAACATCAGGTAACGCCAACAGATTAAATCATTTAACGCAGAAGAAAAAATCAATTAAAAACAACGATAAAATCAATTGAAAAATAAATGTGAAAAAATCAATCAAACAAGGATACAATTTATTAACACACACGGATAAAACCAACAAATAACTAGGACAAAACGAATTAAGACACCAGGAAAGAATCAATTAAGTCACAAAGTTAATAATTTACCCAGAAAGATAACAATTAAAACACAAAGATAATATCAATCAAAAAGTCAAAACAAATATCAATTAAGTCACCAGGATGAAATCAGTTAATGCACAAGGACAAATAAGTCCTCATAATAAACAGAATACAGAAATAAATATGTAGTTAACATTTATTATCAGCAGGCAAATACATGTAGATATTTGATTGATGAGAAAACTCGCAAATAACGTTATTGAATCTATATATGTTATATCGATACCAGTAATGCATCAATTTAATTATCTACATGTCTTAATTGCAGACAAGGTACTTAACATTCATTGTTTTTGCAGTTCGTTGTCATCTTAGAACAATGGATGTAGCTATAGAAGTTATCTTTATCGGATGTAAATATAACCTATGCCTTTAATGGCAAAAATCAGATACGTCTCTCATTTATACTAGTCAATCAAAATGCAAATGTCGTATGTTACATTTGAATTCACGTTAGATGTATAAGACATAATGTCACGTGCCAACTATGGTGACAGAAAACCTCTTATCGGGTTCTACATGTGGTAGCATTAGAAAGCATGTCATGTGCCACATGTGGTGAAGGGTAACATCATATAAATATTGAAACAGGAAACGTCGCTTACATTTCTAGAATAAGCTTTTTCTATTCGAAAATGAATTCGTTATGTTTCGATATATCCTAGTTTTTGATTGTCAACGTTATAATTGTAAACACAGCCCCAGTAATTGTAGAAGAATCATTTAAATATTTTGAGGTATTAATAATAATAATTATGTGCATGTGTTCCTCAAATCAATTGTTTGCCGAACATGCTTAGAATGGTGTGTTTTTTCTAGAATACACAGAGACTTCGGTCTTATAGGAGTGAGAGCAGATTCGTGATAAAGAAGACCTCTACAGGTTTACGTCCAGCAGACGTACAGTAATAACAGATATATAAATAGCTCACGGCCACGTTTAATGCCGATACTCGTCACACTCGTTGACAATTATGACCAGCCGATTGGGCTAACAACATGGTGACGTCACGCATTCGATACACATAGATGATTCTATGTATGTGACGAACACTATAACTATTAGCCGGTTGTTTTATATGCATAAAAGTGTTAGTTGTGACGAACATCACGTCTTAGAATACAAACTATGATGTACGGTGCACATATATATATTTATTAAGGTATTCATGTTTTGTTCGAAAATCCTATCATTATGTAATTCATGACGTCAGTAGGATGTATACATAGTATACTGTGTGTGCATGTAATATTGTACATGATAATACATTTAACAAGCAGTATCTCTATTTTAAATATATCATTATCAAAGCCGTTACAGATTTCATTGATAGCGTTGAGCTTCCCTTACAATACGATATTAAGCTATTTTGTTCTTAATGATAAATATCAGTAATATATGTACAATATTTTAACATATACAGCATATATAATTAATTCTGTATACAGAGACCGTCAAAGAAAAGGTTCAAAAATAAGGTCTATGCAGAAATAATTTCTGATATACGTATGAATATATATAATAAACAGCTATAAGGGTTGAGAGAGCAACTGCGTAACTTATAACATTATTGTGACAATGCTACATTTATTACAAAAACTATTGTCTTCGAAAATATCTAAGTATTATTAAGGTATTTGATGTTTTATTATAACACATAAGTGTTTCAATGTTGCAAATATTGTATTATAAAAACTTTTTTCTAGGCACTTTTTGTTATATGAAAGTATGTATAATATTAGTGCAACAAGCATACTGATATAACACAATCTATTGTTTCAGATTTATGTGCATCATAGGTCGTTTACCAGTGTTTTTGTACCTAATCGATCACGTGTTCATTGATCCGTGAATTTGCTATAGTCATACTGCATACGACCATGAACAGAGACGGAAATGTGAGGTCACTAATTGATATAATAAAATGTCGGGGAAAACTGATTTGTCATTATTAGGAAATATATATATATATTATAAACTATACGGAAGAATCTCCTTGAAGAGATGAAAGTACTAAGTTCTAAAGTTTTAGTGAGAGTTTTTATTATTTCTTCGTCCGTAATGATAATGTTTCTGCTCTTATAACATACTATATATACAAATTACATTGATATATTTACCGTTGGTATTATTATACATAAATGAATGATATATTCTTACATACAACTGTATTAAGGTGATATACTTTTGCATATATGGTTTATATAACTATTTACGTATGGATTTAATCAATAAACATATAAGCATAATATACTTATTAATGTACAGATTACAATATTCTTCATATAAATGTTATACATTTATACATATAGAGATGATATACTTATGCATATATAGATGACATAAGTATACACACACCGATAGTATATACATACATAGATGGTGTAGTATGCAAATATAATTGATTGATAGTTAGAATTGTGTCCCGTTTGAAAGAGTAGACAAATGTATATATTATTCATTAAGGACAAAACTCGAACTTGTTCAAATTGCCATTCAATCTCTTTTTTAATTGAATTGGATAAGCATGTGATTAAATGTATACGCAAGTATCATTTTCTCCATAAAAAAAACACCTCTATTGCTATATAAAAGATAACTGTATCATACATTACTCTCGTTTCACTATTTTGATATATATCTATACTTTATCATCATTATGTATTTGTCACACTTTTGCAACATAAACATATTTGATTACATTGCCGCGTTTTACATTCAATATACCGAGTATTTATTTCTGGAGCACTAAATTTGGTATGATTTATTTTAAGAACATCATGATTCTGTACACAAAGCTGTATCATAAACTATATCCTTCCTGTAGTTCTGACCTCCACTCCCCCTAACTTGTGGTCAGCAATGGTCATCTATATAATATTGGTCAAGGACATATGATTTGTATGCAGCGTAAGTGTCATGTATAAGAAATTGATGAATGTACAAAAAGTTCCCAGGCTGCGCATTGTCTATTACACGACAAGTCATACTTGCCA